TGTTCTTCTATTATTGATAAACTTAATTTAGATCTTAAGTAATCAGCTATCTTTTCAAACAACTTTGGAATGAAACAAAGATTACAGATGGGTCTATAGCTGGATATGTCAGCTCTGTTACCAGACTTGATTATAGGTGTAAGATAGCTCACTTTCCAGAAATCTGGGAATATGCCCGTAGCAAAAGACTTATTAAATATAATGTGAAGTGGCCGCGAGAGAGCAAAACTACAAAATCTGAGAACAGAAGGGGGGATACCATCAGGTCCTGGTCCCTTGGTAATGTCAATACTAGCCATCTCTTCATAAATGGTTGATATAGGAATAACATACTCAGATATAGAAATGTTATTAAGTGACGGTTTACTTTGAGGATCAATATTCTAATCAGTATAGTTGCACAACTTTAAAGCTCTTAAAATTCTTGAGATACATAACATCTCGAAATACTCCCAGTGGCGAGCATAGAAATACAATTTTAAATTAGAAAATCCTCAAAACATTTTTGATTTCATGAGAGGTCTGGTTTGCTCTTAAGGAGATTTCGTAAATTTACGGATACACCCCTACCCCACATTGGAAAAATATTTTGTTGTCTTTGTTATCGTTCTGTAAATTCATACTTTAGTTTGTTATTTTTATACTATAGCACACACAGGTGGATACACCTAGGTGCATATTTTTAATTCTTTTTTTTATTATTAAGTGACTGTCAAATATAAAATGTATATGTAAATTATAAATAAATAAAAAAATGTTCCTAATGTATTTGAACCGAATTCAAAAGGAAAGGCATATAACTTCAAGTGTGCCAATTACCCATTACTAAGTATATGAAGCTCTCATTAATATTGACTAGGATTATTTATTGCTATACAAACATGTAAATGATGCTTTAGATCAGTTTTATATTACTTTGTACTCAATTTTTGATCATTTTGTTTCTACTTATAAAAATTTTCTCCATAGCTCGATTCGTTATTATTAAAAATATTAAGAAGAAAGAAAGATATCTCAAAAAATATAAAAGAATAAATATAATTTAAACTAATCCGATTGAAAGTAGTATAACCACTGATTCTCTTTTGTTCTGGTCATGTATTAATGCAAAAACTAAAATTTCACATATTCTGGGCACTATGTTGTTCGAAGATGAATCATTTGCCAACCTCAAGAACTCAAGAAATAGTTGATAAGTTTAGTCAATTCTTTGTAGCATCATCAGAGTCAAAGCAGGATAGGGCTAGTTTATTTGAATCATAATTTATTTATAATAACTCACTATTCTTCACACGTGTACTTCACAAAATCAGGTGTCCCTCAGAGTTCAAACCTTGGACCATTGCTATTTTTGTTATTTATTAACGTTTATTAATGATTTTAATCACACAATTACTCAGTCTCACTGAGATTATTGCACCTCCATTATTTTGTTATTTAATCTCAACAAAAAATAGAAGCATCCACAAATTAAGAACAAACCCTCTTACACCAGTTGCCATAATGTTATATAACGAACAGCCACTAAAAAAGCATCACAACTCAAAAAATATACTTTCGAGGAAAAACTGCTCAAAAATAATGCCAGGCATTACATCTGATTTTGTTGAAGATTAGCATCGTTGTTGGATTTGTATTGATCTAATTTAGTTCTTAAAATATTTAACCTTGTTATGAAAATTTGGTCTATAAGGATAGAACAGTAATATTTACATTTTCATGTAAAATAAAAATTCTATATGAGTTATGACTCTTTTTTAGTATATATAGACATTTTTTTTTTTAATAATAATAAATACACTTTACAAAAAATGAATCAAATAATAGGAAAGAGAAACTTTTATTGACTGCACTTGCAAATCATTATAAAATGATGAGTAATAATGATTCACCAACACAATTCAAAAAGACTTTTTTTTTTCTTATTTTCAGCAATTTTGGGTGCAGTTTTGTAGGCCAGTTTTAATCCATTCGGAATTTTAGTTTTTCTCCTAAATAACTCGTCTTGGGCAAATTCTTCTTGTTTATAGGAGATTTTGTAGAACACATTGTACGGACACACAATGTGACCTTTTTTTTTGAACTTTTGCAGAATATTCACATAAATTTGTGTCATCCGTTTAAAAACAATCAACATTTTTATAAAATTTTATAATTTTTTTAACATTCAACACCACAATCTTGCCCCCTGTTATCATAGTATTTTACCCATCTTAAATAATAAATTCATAGGATTTGTTTGTTTGTATGATGCACAGAACACTTACTTTCTGCTATGGTTTATGGTTGACGTTAAGATCTCTGTATCTTAGCATCGGTAAGGAAGGAAGAAAAATTCTGACTTACAATCACAAAAAGAATGTACAACTAAGCTTAGTCATTATAAGTTAGCTCAGATTAGTTAAAAAGAAAGAGACTATTGATTTCCATGCTGGTTCTAAGTAAAAAACAAAAGTGAATTTGTTTAGAAGTATTTATAAATAAGAGTAGTATGTAACATTTTTAAACTTAAGTAGGTAGTTAGTTTATCTATCAGTATATTCCGTATACCTACTTGGTTAACCTGGTTACTAAATTCATGTTCCGTAATTATCAGATTCCTGAAATCTGGTTAGTATACAGAACTTGTTTACTGAAAATCAGTTGACAAATCTATGTCCAAAACAACAGATCTTTTCCAGCGGTTAAAGTGGTTGAAGTGTTAACAAAAAACAGTAACATTATTTAATAAATACATTTTGGTATCCATAGCTACTCAGCCTTGTGCAGAGAGAGTTATTCTTCCATATCACTCGAGTCAGACAGTATATTATTGAAATAAAAAAATAGTGCTGCTCGAGGGGCAAACTACTATGGTCAAAACGTACCTGTATTTTGAAAATTCCCTAAAGATTTTTTGTAATTTTTAGTATATTTCACTGAAAATGCACCTTAATTATATACACTGACCTTTTTGTTTTATCTAAAAGCTGCTGAATTTACGTTTTTGAGTGACAATGATTTTCGATGATGATTTCACAATAATAGTGATTTTGGTGATTTCGAGTGAAATCGTACCAGTATTTCAGGAGTGGTTTACCCCTGGGTGCTGTTTTATCCATTTATTATTTTATTAATCTCAAATATCAATAACGCCAAAAATGGTAAAATTTTAAACAGAAATACCTACATAAACAAATCTTTTATTTTGGCATTTTACCATTATTGGTCAGTTTTTGTTCCGTAAGTATGGTTGTAAACCAAAAACCAATTCCAAACTAGCCTGAAAAACTAGATCAGACCAGGTCAGACTGGTTAACCAAGTTGATATACAGAATATATGGTGAATTATTTTAACTTTTTAACCTCCTGTATTTTTTATATTAATGATGTCATTATGTTAAATAAATTAGGTATGTCTATTTACCTATTTGGGACCTTTGTTATTTTTATTATTTATAAATGATATTTCAGATGGTTTCAAGTTTGCCAAATTTTTATGCTTTGCTGATGACCTAAAGTGCTACCTGGCAGTTACATCTCTTGAGGATTATCACAAACTTCAGTCTGATCTGGCTAGGCTTGATGAGTTGTGTGCGAATAATGCTATGGACCTAAACATCAGTAAGTGTCACTTGATATCCTTTACTAGGAAGGTCAACAAGATTGATTTTCAATATAATATCAAGGACACACGAGTGTCCCAAGTTGCATCCATTCGAGATCTGGGTGTTATTATTGACTCCACGCTCTCATTTGTCAATCACATTGACACAATAGTATCCAGAGCACTTGGTATGTTTGGGTTTATAAAGAGAAACACATCAGACTTTACAAGTATTAATGCTATCAGGTTATTGAACTGTACTCTTGTTATGCCTCCACTAGAATATTGCTCTTCAGTCTGGAACCCCCATTCATAGATTAAGACAGGTTCAGAGAAAATTTCATGGCTACTTAGCATTTAAATCAAATATTCCACGGATAGATGACTATTCCTAAGATTTTGCAGCACTGCAAGAGACATTCTCCTTACCAACTTTGAGAAAAAGAAGAGATCAGGCAGATCTGAAATTATTTTTTAAGCTCATTAACTATATGGTTGACTTCCCTACATTGATGTTGTTAACAGTCCCAACCAGAAGCTCAATATCAATAAATAGTGTTCATCAGCCCCACATGAGAACTAATACTGGCCTCAATTTGTTCATGGCTAGAGTTTCACGAAGCGCTAATGCTTGTGCTGATAGTCTAGATTTTTTTAATTGAAGCTTTTCTAATTTTGTGACAGTGTTAAAACTTACTGTGACTTAAATATTAGTTGTTTCGATTTTGTACATGTTATTATATTTATGACTTTTGTTGTTAGTTTATTAGTTTATCATTATTATGACATATTATTTACATTTACTCTACTTGAGTTTTTTTTGGTTTTTATTTGTAACTTTGTACTGAAATTGGAAAAGGTCCGTGAATAAATAAATAAAATAAAATTATAGCAGTATAATTTTGATATAGGTACTCTTAATACTCTTGTAAGATATTCTTATTCGATTTAGAACCTAGGTACCTACATAAGTAGGTACATACCTAACATTTTTAATAATGTAATATAGGCAACTTTTAACAGCTTGGAATATTACAAGTATGGAGGAAAGATAAATAATTTAAAATATGGATTGAAATTATTTCAGTACAATCCTGTATTGCTATGTTGTAACCACAATCTGCTGATACCTAACAACTAGAAAATCTAATGCTCCTGTATATTATAGAATAATTTAGGTTATAAAACGGTTCTAAAATTGAAAATACAAATTTTTTAATCCATAACAAAGAAAAGTTTTACAATTTTATTGTAGGGCAAATTCTAACCTAATTTTCAAATTAGTGTTATATCAACAGGTTGCAAATTCAATTTACTTGAGTTATTAGTGAAGATTAAGGTAAGAATAAGTATTTACAATTAAACTCTAAATACCTACATTGAATTATTCACTATTATTATTAGTTAAACTTACCAGAAGAAATTGGAATAAGAAGATCGTGTTCTACTTGTTTGTTCATTTTCTATAAACACTGTCCCATTTTAACCAAATTGTTTATATAAATAATAACTATGTTCAATTATAAATTATCTACTATAAATTATTCATTATTGCACACACAGTTTATTTGGCACAAACACTTGAGTTTCAATTATTGTTTGAAGTTCCAAAACTGATCACTATTCCTGTAAAAAATTGCACTTTTGTACACACCAAAATAAAGAAAAAACAATTATTCGTAACCGAAATTCACTATTTGATAATTTAATTAAAACTTGTTAAAATTATGGGGATCTATTGGATTGGGAGCGCCCGTGTTTTGACACTTGTTACTTTTATTTATAAAAAGCCATTTCTTCAGTCTGGTTTCTTCAGTTCACTTCAGTTATGCGGTGTTGCCATTTTGAAGATATATGAACCAGCTAATGTTTCACTCGTTACGAAGGTTGTCATGCTGTTAAATCACAGTCAGTCAGTCCACCATTTAAAAAAATCGTTGTAGTGTGTCTGCTGCGCCGCTTTTGTTATATGATTTAAAATTCAATGTTTAATGTTTATTTTTATTGTAGAAGCAGAAAAAACGAAGAATGAAGAACATTGGACAGACTAGACACATATTTTACAATTTTTACAATGTCGGAAAACCGCGTGCTTCTGAGGTCCTTACTAGTTACATCGAACAATGCAGTGAACCGCCTTGGACATCTTATTTTATCAAAGTAATAAGTACCTATTTATTTGATGCGTTGAAAAATACTACTTAATGTTATTTTTTTAGTATTCAAGTATTGTAGATGACCAATGGGGTAAATCACATTTTAATTGGAAAGTTGGTGCCTCCAATTATCATATACTTAGAACTGGATGTTTCCCATATATTAAATATCATTGTACCAAAAGAAGTCATCAAAACCTTGATATTGACGATATCTTCTTTAGGGGCATAAAAGTTCTTAATTTAGGTATTATATTAACATTTTTCTGTTACAATCAATTTTGATTAATTATTCCAAAACTTTTTCATTTTTCGTACCTGTGCTGTACCTAACTTTAACAGCAACTTGTTTATTTATTTTATTATTTTACGTCTGCTGTTATACTAACTCCGAGGTTTACTCCAAAGATTGACGCGGTGAGTATAATAGGTACGCTAACAGTGACGGCTTTTGTTAAAGACATTGGGTGTTCTGTAAGATTAAAACCCAGACATTACAACATAGAGACAAAATGTTTCATTCATAAATCCCCTACAATTGCGGATTGTTATTGTTTTAAAATTGTTAGTGAGTGGAAGAGAGAAAGACAGATCTCTTAGGACCGGCTGGCAACGTTGTAAACAGTGTCCATAATATGCTCGCCAGCGGCGTAGAGTTTTAAACTTGCCAGTATTGTCAGAGTAGTATGTTAAAAAAATACGTAAATAACAAGGTATATTTTTTTAGTAATATAATTATGATGATATTTTCATGTAGGTAAATTCAAGTACGAGGAAATTCAAATACAAGAGAATTCAAGTTACCTTCCGATTTTTAATATTTATTGGTTTATAGTTTATTGGCATTTACTATATATTTGCCTGGTATGATGTTAACCAAAATTATTTAAAATTTTAAATTAACATTAAGTAGGTAGGGGTATCTTAATAAAACACTGTCCTAAAAATATATAATTTTTTAATAATAATTACAAAAAAACATGGTATGGCAAAAATATCGTAAAATTTTTTTTTAAAATAACGTTTTAAGGTAGTTCACTCCTAAAACGGCTTTTCTTAAGAATTCAATAAAATTTAAATATAAGGTTTATGAAAGTGTCGTTTACGTAACCAAAAAAAATTAGATTTTTTTGACCGTCTGTGAAACGAGATATTAACAATCAAAATGTGCATAATTAACACTCTTGAAGCCTATCATGTACACAAGCAATACATTTATTTCAAGATATCTCGAAAACGGTTCTGACCATATTTTTTAAAAACTAATGTTAAATAAATCAAGAAGTTATCAAATTTTATAGATAATCGCTGAATTTTTTGACCGTCTTAGTAAAAAGTTATAGATTTTTAAAATAAAAATATTTTTAAAGCAGTTGAGGAGTAGTTTCGTAAAATTATTACAACTTGGCAACATTGTAGCCACTTCACGTATGAAAGTAACACTCGATCAGCTAAGAGGTTGTTATAAACTCGTGACGTGTTCTTGAAAAAATAATTCGTCCACTGTGTTTGAGAACTGGAATCAGCGGTTTTGTTTGAACCAAAACAAACCCTTAAAATTAGTATGAGGAAGTCACAAATTTCTATACCATATCGTTTAAATATTTGCAAGTTTGCCGGATGAAATTGATTAAAATTATAACTTGTCCATATGTGTTTATATACATGTGTTTTGTACAGTCTCTTACAAAAATAAAATTGATTAGCATTGAAAATCTCGAACTTTTGCTATTCACCATTACGCGATATTTTTATGTACGACTGTCGCGAGTAAACTACCTTTAATTTTTTTATGCTTAGTTATTAGTGTTATTACTTACTGCAATGTTTTTTTTGCTGCAGGTGGTGTTCCAAAAACAGTTGAATCAGAACTAAAAACCCATACATTAGATATACATACATATAGGTAATAAATAATGTTTTTCTACGTTCATGCAAAAAACAAAACTTTATTGAACTATATGTAGTGAAAAAACTGGGTCTTTATTGTGCAATAAAAATTTTATTGCACTCATCTGTCATTTTACTACAGCATTTTATGATCATGACAAACATAAATATTCAAATCAACGCCAAATATTTAGTCCATTTTCATTTTCTGTGTTACGTTTTAATAACAATTGCATATTTTATATTATTTTTAATCGTTTAATAAATAAATTAATAAAAAGATGTATTTTATTAAAAATGTCATTACAAATTATGAACACAAACGTAAATAAATGCCTCAAACAAAGGTACACGATCACGGCTACTATGATTTGGATAATACAACTGCAATTCTATAAAACATTTTTTGGTTTTTGCATGAACGTAGAAAAAATATTGTATGCAACTCGTGTAATAAACACTTACTTTTTGCACTTGTTGCATAAATAACTATTAGAGGTAAACAAAAAATTAATATTTTTTATTTTTACCTGTTGGATAAGTCATCCAAAAATAGAAAGCCCTCACACCGTCTGGGGTTTGCATCTTTTCTGACATATTTAGCACCATTTGCACGTAAACATCTTCAGGAAAAAGTGTTCTGAACACAACTCTGGGTTTTTACTACAGAAAACCAACGTTTTCTTTTCTCAGGATATTGCGGAAACCTAAATAGAATATTAAATAATATGTATAGGTGCCTAATAGGTAAATCATTTTTAAGGTATTCTACATTTTACGTTAAATTTTCTTTGCCACTATTCAATAATTACTATTTATTAGTATAAGAATAAATTACTAATTTATAAAAGAAATATCACTTTAAAAACTGTTTTAAGACTGTTTTAGACTACACAAGTTTTTGATACAATTTAAATTGTATATTATCAAACCTGCAGTAAATTGTCTGAAAAATTAGATTGGATAATCATTTTTCAAACAATTTACTATGTGATCCTATACAATTTAAATTCTATAAGAAATTGTATCAAATCTTGTACAAGAAATTGTATAGTCAAAATAGTCTTAAGACGGGTACCCTACTCCACTGGTTCAAATGAAAACAACATATCTTAACCTAAAAATTCTTACCGTTGAAAGGATAAATTTCGATTTAAATGATCTACCTTCACATTCTACCTTATTGAACACTACACATGCATGTACCATAATTCTTTATATTTCTCACAAAAATTCACAAAAATATTATTTTATGAATGAATAAATCAATAAGTCACCCAGAAACTGTCAGAAATACAAAATAGCTGTTAGGCCCGATTGGCAATGTTGCGGCTGGTTAAGGTAACTACATTTCATTCATAAAAATAGGTACTATGAGTTGTAAATTCGTAAAATAAGATATTCAACGTTGCCGTATTTACGGAGTTCTTTGCAACTCTAATATTTTGTTTAGATTAATATTGATTTTTAATTAAAAAATTAGCTTATATTAAAACTTTAAAAAATAATTTGATTAAAAAAATATTTTTATTTATATAATATAAAATTATAGTTATAGGATACATCAAATTTTATTTTTCGAAAGTAATTACTCCAAATAATTTTTATAGACTGATAAAACCGGCAAAGACGCAATAAACGAGAATCTGGTGGGAATAATGATTTGCCACATAAAAATGTAAACAATTTGGTCTCTTAGTTGTAATGTCTTTGTTAAAACCACTTTTCGACATTAGGTTCTGATTTTACATCTCTAAAAAAACAGGTCACTTTTCACCAGGTAGCAATTTTATTTGCATATCAAGCCTTTCGCTGTCACAAAAAATTCCTTCAAGATAATCTTAAAGGTATTTTTCGCGGCATAAACCAACATGAACGTTTATGACATTGTGTTATTTAGACCAATCAGATATGTCTTAAACAACATAATCTATCATATACGTTCATGGTGGTTAAGGCACTCCGCGTATCGGGGATAACACTAATCATTTGTAATTGCTGTGGTGGTAGGTGTTTGTGTGAATACGTCTTGTTTGTTTTCATTTACGCCATGACTAGCAGTAGTATTTAATAGCAAATTTCACATACAAGAACAAATAATAATAATAATAATAATGCCGTGACAACAAGAAGACAAAGTAACGACTTCTCGTAGGGTGGCGGCTTCGCCGCCACCATAAAATTTCAATCCATACCTGGCTACGCCGACCGGCATAAATACCAACGGCTTGGACACAGCTCATCTACTCTTTCAAAAGGAGACCGATGTACAAATAAAACGCGTACAACATGCGCACTACAAATGATTAGTGTTGCCCCCGATACGCGAATGGTTAAGAGGCTAGTTCATGTAGATGCGAATCGCGAAATTCGCAAAAATATATCTTTTTTTATGTCAATTCATGTACCTGCGAATGTTTTGATAGGATCCTGGAACATTTATTATTTTCACTAAAACATATTCGGCAGTTGGTATTATTCAACAACAAACAATACATAACAACCCCGATTCGTGTCTGCTACTGATAAATAAGGGTTTTATTAAATAAAATGAATGACGAATACGATAATGAATAGTATTTGTTTTATTGTTAAAAAAGACGAAGTAATAGAATTAATAGTACAATCTATGAAATATTTAAACAGACAACAACAAGGAGCAAAATATAACAATTTAGCATATATTATGGCTAAATCACAACAAAAAAATGTGTGCGATATTTGCAAAATATTAAAAGGATTTCAAGATTCCCGTCCCCCAGATTTTGAATAATGCGAATTCGCAAGAAATTCAACTTTCGGGCTGTCAAAATTTCCAGCTTGTCATTATTGTGATATTGACCAATGGCAGCGACCTTCGCAATTCGCAACTACATGAACTAGCCTTTATGTCGCGAAAAATACCTTTTAGATTTATAAAAAACCAATGAACTGGAGTGGGGTAGAAAGCCAATGTGCATGTTGTATCAATAGAACTAGTGCCACTCTATGGGCGCAGATGAAAAATAAAATGTCTGCGCCCACAGTCCCACAGAGTCGCATCTCAAACCCATTGACAAGCAGTCTGCCCAGGGGCGGCTACTCTTCAAGGCCGCATGGCCGCGCGCCCCTCCTCAAAAATACCAAAGAATAAAATACTAAATAAAAATATTATTTATTTGTTTATTTTATAATTTTTCCTATCGTCTCGACACATTCTATGAGTGTTATTTATTATGTCCCTTCCAAATCCTTCCTGTATTAACAATGTATGAACTCTTTGACTGGACTATAGACGTCCGCGGTAAGATTGAGGCCCCCGTTACCATGACAACGTAGTGGGTTACGCGCTATCGAGTACGTCTTGGTCGGGTATTC